CAGTGCTAACAAAAAATACACTTGCTCCAGAATGAATAAAGATCAGCAGTGCTACAAACCACTTAAAACTCTACTTCATTAGCCAGGTTTGTCATGTCTGCAGATTAGGATAGCTCAGTTTAAAATGTCCATGTTTCAATTAAGCAATTCAAGCCATTTTATCATGTTGACATATCTAGCAAGGAAAAAAAAGGGGCCAGGTGGGGGGGGAATCCCTTTCCCACAGCAACACTCCCTTCAGGTCTTGGCTTACATTAACCCTGTCCTAGCCAAACAGGACAAGGTCATACAGGATAGGTAGAGTCTTAAAAGGTTCAAATCAATCAGAGCCAAGGCTCAAACACATCTGTGCTGCTACAGAAAAAAAAGAGAAATATGTGGCAGCCCCCAGCATGCAGCTGAAAAGGAGATGACAGTTGACTCCTAGAAATGCAATCTCCTCTTCTTTGGTGTGTTATTAATTATGGGGACTACTTCATGCCTATGTAGTGTCACCTAAACTTTTCTGGGCCTTCATCTAGTTTCAGCTTTTCACACAGGGCTGTGCTCCCTTGCTAAGCATTTATTAACAATTCTGTCAAAGCAATACAGTTCCACATGCTGTCAGTGGATTACCAACTGTGGCCCATGAGTCACTGGCATCTCTCCCATGGTTGAAAGGTTGGCAGCTACAGAGAGGCAAATTCTAGCCTAGATGGAAGTGCATGTTCAGGGACCTCAGAGGCCATCCCCACATTATTTTGACCTCACTTCAACAAACATTATGGTTCCAAGTCATGCTGATAGCATGTTATATGCCTGCTGTGAAAAAGAGATCAATCCCTTGAGTATTAAGGAAGGCAGAAGAAAATGACAGGGCTGCCACACTTGGGCTTTGTGGGACACAGGCTCTTCCTCTAATAAGGTATATTGGTCTTCACCGATTCTCCAGCCAGGGAAGCACCACCTGAACATGCACAGTTCCAATGCTTTAAGCTGAGTGTTGACCATGACCCAGCACAAGTATTTCTCCTGAAGGAACTCAAAGGACAGCCTTTTGTTTGTTCCCCACACATGAGCTTCCAAGCAAACTCTTGCCCTACTTCATGGCAAGCATACCACACAACTGGATACCTCCAGGCAGTCATGGAAGAGGATGAAAAGACAGACATTATGGACAATCTGTAGGTGTTGAGGACAGCCTCCATTGTTAAAGTTCACTAACTATTTTGCTTCATTTTTGCCAAAAATCAATTTAGAGACATCAGTTGTTTATCTTTTAGCATCACAGTCATTTCTTCAGACAAAAGCTTGCACTATTAGACACAATCTGCTATTTTAAACAAGATTATACGTTAAATTCAGAGCAGAGCAGCAACTTCATTATTTTTTCCATCTGTTCTATTCTAGCTTGCTGGCTTTCATGTTACATTTAACTTCTGTATGAACTCAAAATGCCAAAAGCTAAACAGCTCAATTCTATTGTGGATCACAATCTGCCGGGGGCATAATACTGAGTTGTTTGCCTCAGACATAATAGAACAGGACAGGCTCCTGGTTACTGTCCATCAACAATTTTTAACTGAGGAAAAGAGGGAATATTGGGAAATGCAATTTTCCAAATACACCATTGTGTGTTCAAGGCAGCCACAGGGTCACTCATTTACATCACAGACCAATCTATGAGGTTCTAGGAATTTGAGAGCATTTGTATTTCTAGGCAAATCTACATGCCTTAAAGCAATTCAACTTCAGCTTTTGGTTGAGCTTGGGAAACCTGTGTCTAAATCTGGTACCTTGTTAGTCCTCCCATCCAAGCAGGAGATGACAGTCTAAAGTTAACAATTCACTCCCTTTACCCAAGCAAGAGGAAGGCAAATTATTTACAGTTGGTATTAAAAAAGAAAAAAAAAAAGCGAAATAAAGAGATTAGCTACAAAAAATATCCTCAGCTCTCCAGGAAAGGAGATCCTGAAGCTGTAATGTAACATAGATTCAATTACTGTTAAGTATTTCAAAAGTTTCTTGACATACCAGCTGCACCAGTCCCAGACCTGTGAAGTGAGAGAGGCTGAGCCAGGGCATTTACCACAGCAGCTCCCAGTGAGCAAGAACCTTAGTGGCAGAGGTTTGAATAGCAGAGTACCGTCAGGGTATGTTCTGACTTTCTTTCCAGCATGCTTACATCTCTGTGTGGACGGCAAGGAGGCTGGTTTTGAAGTACAGCCTTGAGGGGTTTATACACATAAATATGGAATCATTATCCACGTTGTGGATGACAGCTTCTATTGCTCTAAATGGCTCATTCCAAAATCTCCAAATCCTTAATATACTAGTAGGAAGAGCTGTGTAGTGAGCTGATCTAAACACATGGATGGCATGTGGATGTAATAAACGGACTGTTAAGTACAGGACTTAAGGCAATGAAAAGAAAAATTCAGATGCTTGTGTAGCACATACAGCCTGAAAAGCTGTCCAGAGAAAAAGGCAGCAGACTAGAAATAAATACCTTACAGACCATGCACTATGCAAGAACTGCCAATCACAACGTGCTTTTTTATACGACGTCCAAATGCCAGCAACTGGAATACCTAAGAACATGAACAGCTGTCATGTTGCTACGAGCCTCCACCTGATTTCATGATCCTGGCAAAACACTCACTTCAGATTCACCCATGTCCCTCTCTGAGACAAACTTACTTCCCAGATGGCCAGGCTACAGCCAGGAGCCCATGGCCTGCCTGAGGAAGCCCAGGCGGCCACGCCGGGCTGCTGGCTCCCCTGCCTCCGGCTGCCCACGGACCCTTTCCAGTGTTCAGCTTCCCAGTCCGTAGCGGAACAGTCAGCAACTCTTTTGAAGGCTGCTTCTTCCAAGTCTAAGGCCTTGTATTTTTCACAAGGAGGTCTGATCAACTCTTCCTCCAATTTCCAATATGTGCCCAGCCAAAACCAAATATTTAAAGTAATCATTTCAAAGCCTGCTATCATAGTTAAATAGTTCAAACCTTGTGATAAGACAGCTGTGTGTCATGGCTATTGCACAGATCAGCAGCAACTCTTCACCAAGAAACCCAGTAATACAGGATCTAGCAAGGACAGCAAATAGCAGCAATTTTTTTTTTAAAACCACTTTCTCCCATAGCACAACCCTACATTTTTAGTTTTAAAGGTTGACCAATTTTCAGTCATAACAATTAATGTAAATGAGCACGAGGTATTACATCAAGTAGATGAATGAGATGTAAACAGGTTGCCAGGACTGTGTGGCCTTCCCACAGGAGCTCTGAAGGAAGGCAGACGTGGAAGGGCAGAGGTGCCAGTGAGGGTGTGTAGCTACCACTGCAGTCCCTGTGCTCGGGGAGGGCAGACTGCTGCTCATCTCCCTCTCATCCATAGAAAGGGCTGCTGAGGGAACCCTGCAAGTTACACACTGACGAATCTGATCTCTGCCCCTGTAAGATGGCAGGGGCTATAATAAAGAGCAAGACTTAGAAGCCTATGGATAGACATGGGCTTTTGGGAAAGAGGATGCTTCCTATGAAGGAAAATCCTGTCTCACTAACCACAGAGTCTTTGTGAATAATCAGGAAGATAAAGGTAATACCTCAGACATACTTGGATTTTCAAAAACTCTTTGACAATGTTAAATACTTGGAAGTTACAAAAGAAGCTAACATTGCCAAAAGATTGGATAAAAGAATATACTACAAGGTGAAAGCTGGTTAAAGGTAGGGAGGAAAGCACAAAAAACGCATCCATTATCATGACTTGGTGATGAATTCACTTATTAGTCAAACGGTATTTAACTGTCAAATAAACTGGACATACTTAGGTTAATGAGAAATTATTTTTAAGGTGTTTATTAGCTAAAACAAAAGTCAAGAGGGCTACTGAATTTTTAGCTCCTAAACTGCCACTAGTGGGAACAGTTCAGTATCTCTGGAAATTAAACAAGTTTCATACCAATTACTGCATGAACAAAAGTGGTGGTATTATTCCTGATTTTACCATTGCTACCTTTATTTCCACATTCGATTTCAAGCACCAACAGAAATCTGCACAATATCACAAAAAGTGAGAGGAACATGTATTTTATTTATATTGAGGCAAAAGGAGCTCATCTCATTTAGAACAAAGAAATGGAGAACAGTTGTTTTTATCGAATTTTTAAGAATTTACAGAAAGGAGAAAAATCCCTCATGCTTATCACATCAGTGTATGAGTGAATTTCCTATGTGAAAACTCTTTTCCTTTAGACTTGGCACAATTTTTTATTGCCCACTACCACATTTCACATCTTTACTTGTCAAACTGTCATATTGCCTATGTAAACATCTGGTTTATGTGTAAACTTCAACAAGTAAATGGGAAAGTTTACTTATCCAAAAAAAAAAAAAAATCAAGTATGAACTATCAAATTAATTACATCATATTCAATATAATACTGTTTCAACATGGACTGTAGCCTGTTGAATCCATAACAAAAAGAATGGAGAAACCAAAAGCAGATGTGCAGTGTCATGTACTAGTGTAGTAACATTACAAGGCAATAGTAAAAAAGGTGAATATCACTTTAATTATTTTTTTTTAAGTATACTCACCAAGACAAAAGTCAAGGCTGTACTCTTAGTCCTTTCTGGTAGTGTCAGGTAGAGCTAAGCATTTGTGCTTAGCTCAAGCTAAAAAGTGTTAACTTTTGAGCATATTCATCTGTTACTGTGTTTGATAATACATACTTTTGTCAACAGTACAACATGTGGAAGTTCGTGCAATAACAGATTTTTTACTTTTTCAGTTTCAAATTTTTTATGTGTAAAGAAAGAAAACCTCTATTCCCAAAGAATCAACTAAGGTTAATGGAAAAAAAAATATATATATATATATGACACTAAATACTCCTAAAATGAATATGAACAATATCATCTCTGCAGGAAAGTTCAGCAGCCTAATTCAAAAGACTGAGAATACAATTTTTATATGCTTTTTGTTGCTTCTTTGTTCACTTTGTGCTCAAATTGAGTAAGCAAAAGTAGTCATATGGCACTCTGGAAAGCCCAACAGCACCCAAGACTGCTTTTACTGTTCAACCTGCCTTTTTAGTGCAAAGCAGAATCAACCTCAACCATGTATAAAGGAAACTGAAATCATACCTAGACGTTGTTAGAGATGATCTCAAAGTAATTATATTATCACAGTAATCAAAATGACTGTTCTTTTTTCCTCTAATTATAACTTAACCTACTACCTGTCATTTTTACAAACTGCAGTTCACATTAAAACATTTGCTGATAATAAAAGCTTTCCTTTGAAAACAACACTGCTTTACATCTAGTCAGGCAGCTTGTGCATATCAGAGCATTCCGTCAGTAGAGACACGGAAAAGGGTAAAGGGGAAAAAGCTGAAAGATCGCGACAGCTTTTCTGTGCCTTTAATGCACTGCAGAATCTCAGGCAGCACTAGAGACAGCAAGTTTCTTCAGATGATCCATAAATACTTGCAAGCTCACATCATCAGTAAGAATAGGTGCTCCAGACTCCTAGAAAATAAAAGGAAAGAAGGAGAATTGATTACACGCATTGTGAGGAAAAAAGGATTTTAAGGCACAATACGTTGCATTAAACAAACACTGTATAAATTTAGGAAGATCTTAGAAGCTGAAATTACTGAAATCCTCTGACAAAAACCAGTAGACTGTACATTTACATAAATTTTCATATGTTTACATAAATTCAAGCATAAACCACAGCTACAGTCTCTTCCATATTAATGCATATGACAATGAGCTGCAGTACAGCAAGGTATTTACATCAACCACGCAAAACTCAAGAGGCTTTGACAGCTGCCAAATACTAAGTTACACATTTTTAAAAGCAAATAAAACTTCCATGCCACAATTCATGTACCACTCCTACCTCAGTGGAGCAGACAAGTGAAACAGAAACATGCAAGTGATACAACTAATAGGTGGCTGTCAGTGAAGCTCAAACATGAAAATTGTGAAAGTAGAAACAAATCCACTAAGGGTCTGATTTGACACCAAAAGAAGGTCAGCTGGCTTTCTCAAGAAACACTGGGCTAATTTTCTCCTACAGCTCTGTGCCACTTCAGAGAAACACCAAAAAACATCTGAAGGTCATGCCACTGCCAAATCAGATCACAGAAGAACAAAAAAAAAAAAAAACCCAAACCCCCAACCACCTTGTCAGTGGACTTGTGCACGAAGGAAAGGTAGGAAGAATTCCTAAGAATTTCAACAATTCTTCCTTCTTGAAGGTACTAAAGCAAGACATTCCAAGAGAAATCAGAGCTGTCTGAACTCTGACTCCAAAACACAGACAAGAAAGTATTAAAGAGGATGCTTACAACTGGCGCCCCGTGTTGAGAACTGGCCAAAACTATTCCTCAGTTAGCCACCAAGGGCCAAATCCGGGAGCAGTAACAGTTCTCAGGTCACTAGAATGGACTTGACCTAACACACAGCCATGCCAGGGGAAGGCCTCCTAAATCAGCTATCTCCTGAGAGCAGCAAGATGAGAACAAGGTTTCCCAAGCCTGCCGAATGCTGAGGCCGAGCTCTCTTACTTAAGGAGCCACAAGGGAACTGCAAGTCATTTAATTCTGGGGCAGGCTATGATCTGCCACCTTATGTCCTACACATGGAAGGGCAGTACAACATCCTCTATAAACAAACCACCAAAGGAGCTCACAGACCCTTAAGAAAAGGGATCCCCCATGACAACTGCTAGTGGTAACCCAGGGTAATTAAAAACCAAGGCACAGGCTCTGCTCCTGAAGCTGAACAACTCGTCCAGCATGTGCACATGGGCAGCTGCTGTCATCACTGCTACCAACACAGCAGTTAGCTTTACTGTGAAGACTGGGAACCCTTCGTCCTAGCAGGTAAGGTAGCAGAGCATTTGGTTTGCTGGGGAGTATCACAACGTACAAGTCTGAAAAGTGCATGAGAATTAGCTTTGATTTTTCACAGACCACCTTAAGTTTTGGTTTCTGTTCATTCAAGATTTTGACCTAAGGCATACAATGAGAATTTAGATTTAATTAACATTTGGTGGCAGCTAGTTAGGAATTTTATAAGATTTGTGTCATTGACCCCTTCTTTTGTTTCGAATTGCAAATTCCCCATAGTTACCAAGACAAAACGATTTGTAAAAAAAGAGCTGAAAATAAAGGCATTCTCAAATAAATGTCACATCCAATGCAATCTGAAATTTTCAACTGTCTACAAAATCTAACCAACATTATAAAGCTCTACAGAAAGTTTACTATTATCTTCTGAAGATGTTTTCTACGCTATACAAGGCACCTATTTGCTAACAAAATGATCTTTACTGACAATATTAAAAACCAAACTAGTCAATTCATCACATCCTGAAGTGTGGTTCCAGCGATGTGTGGGTGCCCTCTTCAGGTCAATGTGCACTAGCAAATTTTTCTGTAGACTCAATTCTGCACAAAATAAAACTACATGAAACAATCCCAGAAGCTTATGAGAAAACAATACCAATCCAATTTAAAGCCCTCTCCCAACAGTTATATATCTCATTTCACAACTTCTACTTGGTTCAGCTCTGTTCACAAAAAACCCTGCAAACAAAGGAGACTGTGTTGAGCACACAACCTCAACACCACTGGGGAAATTAACAAGTCATTTGTGTTACCCTAGACCTGAATTTTTTTCAGCATTAAAAGGGAGAGCTGTCTTTTCTAAGACAACGAGTATCAAAGAGTCTCAATCGTCCAACATGAACAACTTCCTTAGAAATTGGTTAAAGAGTGGTTTTGTATTTGCATTTACATTTGGAATACCATTTCATTTGCATATTAATTAAACCAGTAGGAAACAGCTGTCCTGTACCGTTGGCAAATGTTAAAACTTCACAAACTTTCCAGGTAATGTTTAGATAAAACCAAGACCTTTCAAACTGCAGGATTTGTGTACATGTTGTGCAGGAAACACGATGAAGAGAGACACTAACAAGCTGCTGGTTAGGTTGTCAGCTTTCGAGGCAAGAGGGTTGGGTTCAAACCATGCTGTTCCTGCCTCAGTAAAAGGCTTTCAAGTATTTTCACTCTGGTTCTCAGTGCTTTTCTGCCAGAAGCTTCAATAGAACCAATACATCCCTATGGAAACGTACCCTGATAAAACTTACCTAACAAAACTCACTGCCATAAAATTGCTGCAGAGCTCTTCCACACATGACCTGAACTTTAGCAAAATATTCTAAAAGTACAGTTAATGTGTAGCTTCACAGCAGTGCTTCTCTTCCCAGTATAAAAGCTGAATGTGGAAGGGAACATGGAACTGGGATGCAACATTCAAGAATACAAGGAAGTTTAGCTTTTGAACTCTTACATAACTCCCCTCCTAAAGGCAAGATTTGGAAAACTGATTCCTGGTCATTTGGGCCACAAAAATCCTGGTAAGCATCGGTACATCTGAAAAGTACTAGTGTACTTTTTTAGTTCTTGCTTATAATTAATGTCAAAATTTATTTCCCCTATTGCAAAAAGGTCCCTTAGTCTTTATGTGTGTTAAGTGCTCTCATTCTAAGGAATCTGAAAGTATCTAAGAAAGATGACTAGCCATGAAAGCAGCCTAACAGAAGCTTAAAGCAGAAAACCACATCTTTTTTGTCTGAAGAAATGAAATCCATTTTTCTTCACTTTTGCAATTGTGGTGGCATATGGCCAAAACTTCATTTCTTTTTCAGTTTCAAAACTTGGCATTATTACTGGTATGTACACTACATACCCCTTGACTTCTGAAAGAGGGAAAAAGAAATTCATGCATACAAGCTTCATCAGCAGATTCATACTTACCTGTCCCCATGCATACATGTTGTTATGAGTCTGAGAAGGATTTACTTTTGAAAGCAAGAAACGAGCCTTAAAAAACAAACAAAAAATGGCAATAATTAATCTTCTCTGACAGAAGGTTTTTTGTAGTCAGAAAAAATTATGCATATGAAATATGTAATTTCTATTGTTTGGAAATAAAAATGTGCACAGATACCTATTCAGAAGAACAAGTAGCACCTCTATAAATAAAGCCACCCCCTGAGTTCTATAGCTATAATACAGAACTGTTAACAACTTTTCAATGCATCAGAAAGTTAAGCTTTTGTCTTTTTTTTAAGCACTAGTAAAACAAATGTGATTATCAATAAGATTAATTACTAAGTTTCAAAAAAGTAACACAAAGAATGATTATGATATTGGTCCAGAGATCCTGACAAGCACTACCTTTTTCATCCTACACACCTCACACAAGGAATCTGAGAGTCTAAGTCAGTATAGTAAAAACAGGAATAAATAGCAGGATTCATAAATCAGGAGAAAAGCTACTATTAAGTATCTGGCTCTGTAATAGCTTTAAAATTCAAAATGTTTACTTACAACCTGCATATATTTTAGCACGGAAATGCATATTTACTATAAAAAAAAAATCTCATGACGTTACTAACACTTCTCTGCCTAGGTGGTCACATAATATTTACTTCTCTGTACCTGGCTTCCTCCATGCTCTGTGTCGATGTATCTGGGCATTGGAAACCTGGAATGGAGAATTTCTTGGGCATCGTCTATTGGAGCTTGGAGCAAGTGATGAAAATTTTCATATTCTGGCATATCTTGGTAACCTGACTTACGCCACTGAGCTATGGTCTGGGGACAGAAGGAACAAAGCAGTTCAGAACTTACTCAGCAGTCCTTTTTTAGAAGATATAGAAGGCTTTTCAGAGAAGAATGTGCCATTGCTGGCCTCTTTCATCACTCATCTCCTTCTGTCCAATAGTATGCAAGTTAATTTTTAAAAGCCAAGATGTGCAAGTAACATGCCACTAGATTTTATTTTTTTTTAACTCTAATTTGTGTTCCATCTGCATTTGCTTTTTTTGTCATCGTTTGTATGCTAAATATTTAGTTCATGAGGTCAAGGATACTATTGGCAGTTCTCTAATATGCATGCCTGTGCCACATATTTATCTTTCAGGGCCTTTAGCACAGCTCCCCATCTTCTCAAAGTGAAGCTTGCTGCTCAAGGTCAGCTCACTGACACAGGCTGTTGTTAGGGAAGACCTCGAGGGACCCTCAGCAGGGTTCCCCCCTCCTTTGCTTGGCAATTGTTTTAAGCTGAGGCTGTCATTCCTGGCTCCTGCCCGAGCTGCACCGCAGCCATGCCTGCACCTGGCCATGCAGCCCACTCAGCTGGAACCCAACCTCTCTCAGAAAAAGAATATTTATGTAAGATATGAAAAAGCTCACCTCTCCGTGATAAATAAGGATCTGGAAAAAGGTGTCCATAAGGAGAATGCGATCTGGTAAAATGCTGCTGCTATCCAGAAGAACAGGCTAAGATTTAAAAATAAACAAAAAATTACCAGCTGCTGCAGAATTGCGCAATCAGATGACATTAACAGCTTTTTGACTCAGTAACTGCACCTTGGGAACTTTTCAATCACTTACTAAAGCTCCCTACTCATTTGTTTTCATGTTACGCATCCACAGCCCACACCACCTCATTCTAAAGTTATCCAGTCTGATTTTGAATATATAACTTCATGCAAGTAACATAAAATGTATTCAAGAGCTGAAACCTCTTTCATTATTACGCACTTTTCTAGTCCTTCAAGTACCTCTATATTTACCCATCCAAAGCCATTGATTTGAATGATGTTTTGATGTATTAAGATTCAGTAGCTATTCAAGTATATGATTTGGGGGTTGTAGGTTGTTTGGTTTATTTCTGTCTTGTCCTTGCAGCTGTTATGACTGTGCACATATACCCACCAGTACTGTACATAGTAAATACTCACGACTTATGAAATCTAATGTAATATCTAAGCTTTTAATTCACCTTTTTAAGGGCAGTGACACTATAGTGACATACAATTTAAATTAATCAGTACTATAGGATTTAATTGGATCAATTTTATTAGGGATACCAAAAAGATTAACTATTCCAAGAATCAAGAAAACATTAATATTCATTCTACACTGAGGAATCAGCTCCAACATGCTTCCCCCTTGCATCACCCATGTGACTAATTGTTATTCACACATGGGAGAACAACCTTACACCTGTGAATAGCTCTTCACAAACCACCTCATTAATTTAAACTCCACTTTTAAATGTCTTTCTTTATCCCCTTAAGTCTTAAAAAAAAGCCAAAAATCCTAACAGAAGTTAGAATCCCAGTCTGCCAGGATCCTTGCCTATTTCATTTATTTTCACTGTCTTAGCATCTTCTCCACCATGTCTCCTATCTTATACTTCTTTCACAAGCTTTATTTTAGGTTTATACAGGCTGTGCCATGATAATGTCAACTAGAAGGTTCTGCACCAAATTATACCTAGTAGTAACCACATAAAAATTAGAAGCTTTGGGAAAGGGCATTAAGACAGAGAGAATTTTGTAAATTAAAAAACCCAAATCAACACAAAAAGTTCCTCCAAACTCTACAGGAAAAGTACATTTTGAAATAAAAACATTTTTGTGGGTATTTACATTCTGGCACCACAAAAACAAAAGCAAGGATCGGATCCTACAGCTCTCAAAAAGAAAACAAACAAACAAACAAACAAAACAGTCCTTAGCTCAAAACATTGCCTCTTCACAAAGTCAATTCTGTTCTCAAGACTATGCTACATAAGAATTCTGAGATATGCCTTGTTCAAAGTATGCTCTATATTAAATGAATATCCTTTCTCATGCAATAGATTTTATAACAGATACATGGATTTTATAACATATAACAGTGAGGAAAATCATCTCCTCCTCAAAACAGCACTTAACCTGCTGTAACATGTAACAATACCTCTGGAGGCCCATTGAAAGAGTAGGCATAAAGAATGGGCTGAACCATGATAAGTGACTGGGTTAGATCTTGGCGCATAAAATGATGACGGTAGTATGAGCTCTCATCTGGACTGTTGTTAAAAACTTGCAAGAAAGGAGATCTTCTCAGGTGAAACATAAACTGCAAAACAAAAACCACCAGTTTGAGCTTTCACAGAAAAAAAAAAGAGTTGCACAAGTAAACTTTTTCACAAACTACGAGACCAATGCCACAACAAAATTAAGTTCCAAGTTCAGCTGTTAACTTGTATATGCACCTTTGCCAGTTTTTATATACTCTCATGACAGTAAGACAGAGAAAACAGGATGGGTAAACCTACAGAGCAGTTCTGAATCAAGACAGAACTTCAATATTTCTTCTTGTCCAGTACTAACTGAAAAATAGTATGACTGAATATTGTTAGACACTTCCGCTACTCTAAGTTCTACTCTTTCTATGAGAGAGGCTGCTGTGCTTGAACACACCAAGTAAGGTATAGTACATGAACAGAAAAAAGAACATGAACCACAGCAAATTTGAACTTTATTAGTAAAATGGAGAAAGCAAATCCTTTCACTGCTGAAATCAGTCTCTCCACATGCTGAATCCATCTCTCCACAACACTTAACACCTTGAGACGGGCTGTTAGATCACTTTAACATCACAGAAGTCTACAGAGTCCAACAGCTATGTCACAACATATCTGGAGCTATGAGAATGAAGGAATTTATCAGAATGGATTATTAGCAAAGAAACTATTCAAAGTTTAATATAGTCAAGCTCAAATTCACTTCCCCAGAGAAGTGTTTCTTTTCAGGTCAGTGCTACAAATCATAGAGGAAACAACAGAGCAAAACCATATCTTTTCTCACGTTTTCAAAATTTCTTCATTAAAACTGCCCTTAAAAGCAAAGTGTCATTATCTGAATTACAAACTCAGGTAAGATGAAGATTCCATTACGGAAGGAACAAAAGATACACAGTTAGAGAAAATTTAATGTATGGACAGAGGTCAAAAGGGGACACAAGGGCACAGACAACAGCTGTGATTTCCCTCACATCACATGCCAGACAGTAGCTGGGTTGGCTTTTCATTCTGGTATCCAGTAAAGCCTCTGTGCTATAGCAGTAGCTTCCTCAGTTTAGGTTAGTGGCCTTAGTTTAAACAGCTTAGTGTCTTCCTTCACTAAGCATTCTCTCTATATCCCTTATAGACACACCTTCCTTCTACTCACCTGTGGGTAAAGCGAAAAGGTTTCTGAAAATCTGAAAGAGCTCGGATCATCCTTGTGATATTCTCCAAATTTCTGACACTGGAGTAAAAGCAAAATTTATCTTAATTAAGAAACATACTTGCTTGGTCATGCCATTCCTGTAAGTTTGTTTTAACACATGACTTGTCATGATTTGATGTGTCAAATCATCAGACACATGATCTGAGGTGCTTAAAGCTTTGTAAGCAAACAGAAACCTAGCAAAACCACTGACATAAGTTCTGTTCCTAACAAGCAGTGATGTCCTTGCATATGAGGTTTCAGAGGCTTTTTGGTTTTGTTTTTTTCTCCAAAATTGCTAAGCAGAGTCAGATGATTAAATAGCCCTGGAGAACAGTTTTAAAAGTAAATAATAACTGTTCACATACAAGTAAGAAATAAAAAAAGCAAAACAAAACAGAAAATTTAACTTTTGAAAATAAAGAAATTCCATACGGTTTTCTAAATACTTTTACTTTTCATTTTTTAATTATTTTTATTTGCTAAAACTATTTCAACTAACGTATTATCACACAACAGCATCTCACAAGGAAAAGGTGAGAGATGTAGGTTTGTTTAGCCTGGATTAGACTGAGAGGGGAACTTATCAATGCTTACAAATATCTAAAGGGTGGGGGTCAAGAGGATGGGGCCAGACTCTTTTCAGTGGTGGCCAACAACAGAACAAGTGGCAATAGGCACAAACTGGAACACCCGAAGTTCCACCTAAACATAAGGCAAAACTTCTTTACTGTGAGGGTGGCAGAGCCCTGGCACAGGCTGCCCAGAGAGGCTGTGGAGTCTCCTTCTCTGGAGACAGTCAAAACCCACCAGGATGCATTCCTGTGCAACCTGCCCTAGGTGAACCTGCTTTGGCAAGGCTGTTGGACTAAATGACCTCCAGAGGTCCCTTCCAATCCCTACCATTCTGCGACTCTGCAGTATCATTAAAGGCAGCAAAAAGTAGAGAATTTCTGCTAATCTCATGCTAGAATTTCAGTTGCTAGCACTTATCAGCTGCTGAGGAAACCATAATAAATGAACTAAAATTGCATCTGCTCTTTTTTCCACTTAAAACAGAAAATCTCGTTTCCATCTTATGGAAATGAAGCATGCAGTTTATTTTTTGCTTTGTTTTATCTTGAAAGAAACAATCACCAAACACTTAATCATTTAAGAACGGTGTGTCTGGAGGCAAGATATCAAGTGGACTCTTTTAATATGGTCCTTTTTACCAGTCGTATAAGTTGTCTGTCCAGCCACCTAAGCACGTCAGGCCCCTCTTCTGTCTCTGCCCTGTACACTGCCAATCTGGCCATGAGGATTGCAGCAGCTTCCTGGTCAAAAGATGCAGCAATGTTCTGAATCTGCGTCTGCGCATCTGCCCAGCTGCAAAAGAAGAATAGAACTATCTGCATCACAGTGAACGGGAAGACGTCAAACCTCAAAATATCCCTTCAAAATTAAGGCAAAGAAAGCAGTGTTAGTAGTTTAACAAACTCATGCTGGAGTTTCAAAAATCTGCAGGGTGCAAATGAGTAGCCTCTCAGTTAACCACTCTTTAATACCCTCTATTTGTACAGCTCCCATGCAATCAGTGAGCTAAAATATAATGCCACATATAAAATGGTTACAGTAAAAACAATATATTGTGAAAGGTAAGTTGTAGAAAACACTGACCATCAAGCTAACCACACATTCCCACACTAGCAGTTTACTTGTGCACCTTGCTTATTCTTTTCAATTTACAAGGTAAACTATTAATCTGTCCTTTTGTTCAGTCACCAAGATTTTACTAATAGAATTAGAGTTAAAAAAATATTATCAACAGTAAGGGCAATGCTTTTGTTGACAAATAATTATCCATCTAATTAACCAACCAATGATCTCTTTCAGCTTAAAGGAAATATCATTGGACATTGGAAAACGCCTGCATAATATTAAACCTCACTTTCTAAAACTGTGAAGTAAATTGGATCAAGGAAGCTGCAGGTAAAGATTATACATGAAAGAACAGGTGTTTACACCCCCCTGAACTGCAGCAAGCACTCTCAAGTAATGCTGTGAGGTGACTTTTGCCATTCCCTAAGTCAAATCATCTCCACAGTTTAGGTCATATCATTTCACTCAAAGCTTCCTCTTCATCTAAAATCACTTAGGTTACTTCAGAGCACTCCTACAACATCACTATACAGCCACTGCAACCTCTCAGAGAAGAAACAGCCCACAGAACAAGAGAGGCAACCATCTCAAAGGTATGATCATGCCTCCACCACTTGCAGAACTGCATATCCCAGAACAACAGACTGGTTGCAAAATCTATAGATTAAAAGGCAAATATATACCCTGGCTTTTCGAAAATTATTCCCCACAAGTAAAACATACTTTCTGGCAACCGTGGTCACCCTGATACGTCTCTGTCCACTGGAATGCTGGTACTGAGTCACAAACTGGATTGCACCACGTCCTCCTTGTGGAATGGGAGCATTGTGCTAAGTATGGAAGGAAAAAAAAAAAGGAGGGGAATCTTGAGATTTCACAATATAATTTGAAAACATATAAACTACTAGAAAATTATATAATTCTTTGCAATAGGCAGCTCAAGTTACGTAAATGTATTAGCTGGTGCTTTTGTCATGTTGAGTACCTTTACAAAACACTAATAAACTAATTAATAAACTTGGAGACTGTTGAGGGACGTTAGGTGCAGTTGCTGCCCCTACCAGATACTCCTAAAGCAACCAGAGCTCTCTCCTTCCACATACTATTGCAAAGAAAGTACTCTCAAAGAGGCTGTGTTACAACTGTTGACTTCCTTAGATTCTATTTGAACATTATCTGATTCATTGGAATTAAAGGACAACAAAGCTGATACTACTCTAAAATGTTGATTAATGAATCCCAGAAAGTGTCACTGAAACAAAGACTGGAATCCAGGTGTAAACTGAAATTTTAAACCTCTGGTCAGTAGAAATACAGGTTTATACACTGCTAACAAGATAAGCAATTCCAAAAGACAAGGACAGTTGAAATCAACTATTACACACTTCAACCAGACCAGTTTTAGAGCTACTAATAAAATGAGACCAAAATAAACATGCAAAATGTAAAATGAAAAATGGCTAAGGTAACTTCAAGATTACAGACTTTTGCACAGGTTATAAAGTATGCAATACAGCACATTAAATGTATTGAAACTACAGTCAGCTCACATAGTTCCTGAGCTTCAAATATTTGGAAGAAGGGAAAGTTCTAGAAGAACGTAACACATTTACTTGTTCTGCTTTTATCCTCTTTCCTAGTACACTCTCAGGGAGACAGAAAAGCAGGCTATTTGCCCCTGGTGCATTTCAATGAAGCCAGCCTTTACTTGCAAATACTGAGCAATTAAAGTATAAATTAAAATTTAACATTATGGAGGAATTCCCCTGTAACTAAAACATCAGAGAAACACTGAAAAGCACTTTTAAATATACAGATGACAGTACTTTCATATATTGCAATTGATATACATTAGTAAGCAACACTGAAAAATTTGACTTAATTACCAACTCTATTAAAAATTTGTAGAGCTCTTTGGTTCTCATCATATTCAAGAAGATTAGCTCATCATTAAGCTGTTAGTGTCATCTCTGAAGTCTGACAATACAAAATGACAGCATCATTTGTACCACTGCTACCATTCTTGAAGGAACCACACAAAAATATAGGCTTCAGCAATCAAATCAAATAAAATTACTATGTTTAACAGACAAGTAGACAAATATTTATTACCTGGTTGACCACCTCGAAGTACAGCGCAAGTGTTGTAGTAGGATTAAGTCCACAGATCTTCCACTGAAAAGTACCTCCTGTTCCAATCTCCTGTAGAAAGATTTTGTGATACTTTTACAAACCAGAATTATTACCTTGTTTGTGTAGTACATCTGGACATCACAGGTAATTGTTTACAACTACTCTCTCCCAAAGTTTCCTCCCTCCTCACTCTGTCAGCGTCTCAGACAAACACTCCTGTAAAATAACTGCAGCTCTGAATGCAGAAATAATATAAAAAAGATGACTACTGCAAAAGATTTAAATGTTAGAAAGACAAGGAAATGGCATTAGAAAAATGGAAAAATCAAGTCCAAAACAGGAAAAAGTACTAGACTTCACTTAAACAGTCCCAAGAGAAGCACTAAGAAGCATATGTAAGTGGAATGACTCTTCTGAGGCACATGAGTAAAACTTCCAGCAGACAGCTTACATAGTATACAGTATGTGGTCACAAGATCTCTAGTAACTAACAGGGTAACTATATACAGAGAGTGATGTATATTTTTTAGATTTTTAACTTTCTTTTGTAATACATGCAGTCCTTCAGGCAATGAAGAAAATCTGCACCATATCACTAGGAGAAAAAAAAATGCTGATTATACTGAAATTTTTATCTCATAAAAATGCCATCATAAATACAAAAAAAAAAAATTAGGCATGAAAAACATGTGAACATCAGCATGGCCATTTGTAAGCATTTTCATACTTTCTATTATGCAGATTGCTAGGAAGGAAAGTGAGACTTTTGAAATGTAAGATATCTTGGTTACTTGCAGGAATTGTTTTAGTGATTAAGTGCAAAATTAAGCTGTAATAATATTATTTGGTAAGAAAATAAATGATGATTTAAGTCTGATGTAAATTTAAAGGAGTTAATTCAGGAGCCTGTACTAGTTGGATAGTCTCATCAGTTAATTAAACGTGCATTTAGTGAAACAGCTACACAAAGGGGAAGACAGGACCAAGATAAAGTGGATGCTTCCATAGTCTTGTGTCCTATTGTTCTCTCAGTCTTTCTAAACAAAAGTATTTTTATAGTTCTCTTTGGATAAAAGGACATAGCTCTGAGGTTAATAAAGCACTCTAACTCACTTCCTACTTGGTTTCTGCTACACCAGCAAATAACTTCTCTGCAATAATTTTAAAGCAACCACCCAGTGGGCAAACCTAAACAAGTAACAAAGGATCTTCAAGATCCAATACAACTTGAATATAATCTAGCAGTGAAGAGGAGCTTACTGAAAAAAAAAAACCAGCCCTTGCATGTATGCAATGTAAAACTGGTAAAATACTATGTGTTCCATTTATTAAAAAGTTTCAGCCTCTCTTCAAATCCAGAAATCCAAAATCATGCTTCTCTGTAGCAGGTTACAACCTTCATTTTCAGCAAAGTTGACTCACATTTTCTGAGACACAAGGTCCTTTAGAGTTCAGAGAGACACAGGGTCCAATCGCTCCAGAAATCTTTACTTCTCTTGAAGTCTTGATATTTAGAAAAAAAAAATACATTAATATGCCACACTAAGAAGAATTTATTCTTATTTTATCATTAGTTAACAAAAACTTCAATGCATATCAGACTCTTGGTACCTCTACAAAACATTATCTATATAATGATGCTTGAAACATTTAGAGAAACTTCATGGGCTCACTTTCTACATTCCACTACATACGTCTGCTGTACCAATTCATACATTTGAAACAACAGCATGAACATAAACTAAAACATGGAGAAAAGCTGCCAGTATTGATAAAACTCAGGGCCTAGAATGTATACTGGACAATGTCTATTTTTTACCAAAGTAATTAAAATAGCCACAAGATGAGATTAAAACTGAAGACTGGTAAGATAGGCCTGTACATACCCCACATAAATTTATACTCCATCTCCTAAACATATTTAGCTAAAAGCAAAATCCAGTTATTTACATTCTTCCAATGTCATTTTCCTCCTTGAATTTATTTGTACATCCCTCTAGAACTGGGGCTCCCTTTTTACATTTTCCAGGATTTTCCAATAAAATTCTCAAGAACACACACATGGGAAAAAAAAAAAAGTTCAATTATCTGTCCTAGTACTAAAAACTTATGCAGAATTTCACTGAACAAGAAAATAGCCCCATATTTTTCCACACAGCAGAACTGTAACATTTTGCAAGAAACATCAAGGAAGACAGTACCTGACCTACAGCACCCTGAGCTTTAAACTTCTCACAGGAGTTGAGGTGAAAATAAACATTGTTGAAGTGCCAGAGTGAATTCTGATAAGGATGGAAAATGAAAGCTATCCTGGACTACATAAAGAACCTGGACCTCAAGCCAAGAAACACCCACTACTGATACCGGAATCTACGGACAGAGCATTGTGAGTTTCTAACAGAGGCGTTTATTTTAGTTTGGTGTCCCTGTTAGCTGTCACTGAATGCAAGGTAAGGAGGAATTAACATTATACCTGACACAATGACAAAAATCACCAAACTGCAAAAAGATAGCTAGGCAGTAACAGTAACAAAGCTTAGCTATGCCTAAGCCAACCCTAACACATCTCTTTAGCATGTTCCTAAAAATTCTTTGAAGGGCAAAGATTCCACCATTCATAGCCATCCCACTCCAGCATTTCACTAACACACTGCGTTTTTGAATTCTTACCTTTATTTCTAAAGTACCACCAAATCCCATTTTAAACTGTCCTTGCATATCTTTTGTGAATACTCTCTGAAAGGTTTGTTTGAATAAGGACGTATTGAAAGAGTCTCCCATTACCATGTAGCCTCTAGACAACAACAAAGACAAACAAAACCCTCCAGTTAAAATAGATTACTTATAATGCAATAATTTAGCACACAGGACTTATATAGCTTATTTCTATTAAAGATCAAAACTAAAGACAGTTTATTGTGAGGCACATTTTTGCCTTTCTAAAATGGACTGTCATTAAATTAATATTTTGCCACAATGTTAGGGATTAAATTTTCAAGTGAGCTTCTTGCCTGTTCAGTATTTTAAGGTCACTGTGATTATAATATATAACCAAATCTTTCACTGGGAAAATACTACACTGGACTCCAACATTATGAATGTCTCATAATCTTGTCATGCAAGGTCAGTTGACTTCTAATGTTCAATATTGCAGACTTATTTCCACATACTTTTATTTGTGTAGTTCACTCAATACTTCATGTTTAAATCTGTGCTTAAGAAGCACAATTTATTTTTATGCTTAGCGATATTCTGTGAATGTAACTGCAATAGACGCCACTTATCGTGGAATATCATACACTGCGCTCAGGAAGTAGTAATGGGAGATACTGGGTTTATTCATCAAAAAACATGAACTAAATCCTATTAGTAAAATATGTATTAGGTGAAACATTACACCCAAAACATGTTATATAAGGTATATGTTTTCAGACAGATACTCAAAGATAGAAGAACACTGACACAAGCACAAACAGAAGTTGCTCCTTGTGAGCAGGATGTAACCAAACCAAACAGGAACAGCTGTAGGAGAAATAGACAAACTGTCCTGAAACTCAGTGGTGTAAGTTCATCACAACCTGCAGCTGCATCTCTCATTCTTCTTGGTAAGTCTAGATACTAGCATGTGCTTACGTTCCTCTGTCATACAAAGATACTGACAGGCAACTGTGAAGGCCCCTTAGCCACAGATACATCAGTTATTAAACTGATAAGCAAAGATGCTTCATTTAATGTTATGCACAATTGGTATTGACAAAGCTAACTGTAACAAGCAAGAAAAATGAGCTTGGCAAAAGAACCCAGACTGAATACAGAAGCCTAACCTAAAAATCAAATTATATGTAAAGCAGGTGACTATACTAGTGCAGATGAAATATTATGAGTGTAGGAAAGACTTTCAGAAAGAGAAAGAAAAGACAGTCTTTGCAACGATACAGAGGAAGAATTGGCAGGATTTACAAAATTAACGAGGTACTTCACATGCAAGTGAGAATCAAAAGCTGTCCCAGACTGCAGATCAGGAAGGGTAAGGGTGTCATCCACAGTGACAGAAAACAGGGGAGTGGTTTCATGAGAAAGAATAGAAGTTGCTTTGATCACATTACAGCGAACTGATGGCAAGACAAACTGGAGGGAATACAAGACCACATCTGAAATGTAGAACTGGACAGAGGGAGCAAAAATCAGGAGCAATAGATGCACCCAATAATCACCTAAGAAAGTAGTTGAACCTATGAACAACAGTGCATAGGAAAGCATAAACAAGACAAAAAGATTAACACAGCAATTTGTACCACTCCGAACAGCAAGAAAAAGAAGAATGACATGTCCACATCTTTACTGAAACCTGCAGCCTACATATACGCAAACTGCAAAGGAAATGAGCAACGATGCATAGGATAAATGGCCTACTTAAAAGAATCCATGTTATTTATGCCTCAAACAGATCATATTAAAAGAAAAACAGCAAACCCCTTTTTGATTAAATCCACAGTTGTGGTGATAAATTTGCCAGAAGCTGAGAAATTCCAGCGTTCCAGTACAAGTGCAACCACCAGAGCGGGTTTGTGCATTTATTTTATAAATGGATCAGGATGTTTAGGTAAGTGCTTCCCGTTAAACAATTTTAAAATCATGAAGAACATCATGTTCATATACTACTTTAAAACGAATAGGCACATACCCAGTGTAGTTGGGACAACACTTCATCTCCAGAAGACCAGTCTGATCCAATGCACATGCATATATGTCAATAACATGACCGTTTGTTGCAGCCCGATTAGCCAGGGCTTCAAAATGCTAAATCCAAGACGAAAATACAGTTCATAGCAATTTATGACATGAACACTCCTCATCCTAATTCTTCTAAAATGTTATCACACTTTATTCACATCATACTTCAATGCAAGCTGAAAGAATATTTGTTTCCTGAAGTTAAAACTAAGACTGGAATTTTCAACACAGGTAATTTTTTTTCTGACCAGCTGAGAACCTGACTCACACTACACAGACCAGTGGTGGCTATTTCAACTAGAAAATTACCTTGATTTTTTTTTCCTTTTTAAACTTTGCATTAAGTACTAGATCCAACACACTGAATTGATTTTACCTTTCTCATCTCAACTGTCTATAATGACAAGTGCCCACAACTGAGCTAAGCGTTTAAGCTCCTGTAACAGTTAAGATGAACTCTGAACAGATTTTGGATGCAGTTCACCTGCCCAAAAGTACGCTTCAGATGAATTAAACTCTGCCTAAATTCTACTGCCTAACCCTCCCCCAACCACAGAGACAGTTCTGTGCATCTGTCTTTGAAGCAGACAGCCTCACTCTAGATAGACCGCTTAGTCACATCAACCTTTTCCAATTCAAACTGGAGAAACAGTCCAGAGAGCTTCAATGTGAGCCAGGCAAAGTCCTAACTTAAGATACTGAGATTTCCAAATAAATTCCTGAAGACATACCACTATTCAGAGACAACTAAACAAAACCACACAATTCCCACCTCTTTATACATTTGCTACCACTACTAGTATTTTACAGTTCCAAGCAATGTAAATGTTTGCCTACTGGTAAGGTGCCTAAAACATCACCCATGACCATCTCTTACCTTAGTACCCTTTTTAACATATTTAGCATTGTCTTTTTCAATGTCATGCCATGATCTTATAGGTAACTTCAATTCATCCCCAACAACCATGCCAGGTCCTTGTGTAGCTGGTCCTCCAATGAACATCATTATACGTGCACCAGTATTAGGAAAAGTACACTGCAGAAAATAAAAAGACAAATAAAACCATCTGGTTTTGCTACAAATTGAACAATAGTTACGTGAGTATTTATCACATTTATAGGATTCGAACAATAAACACATCTTTTTCCTCCCCAAAATTAAATCTGTCATTAATTCAAAGTCTCAATTTTGCCTTATTAAAATGTATAAACACAATTATTCTAAGCACGTAAGGGATGATCCCATCAGAATCATCATACAAATCTAACATGAATCAATTACTAAGGTTTTTACGTATAGATTGTGGCAGCTCTTCTGCAGCAAAATCATCTGTTTACATGTAAGCACAACTGGAGTTAAAGCTCTTACCTCAAGGAGCCCCACAGCTATAGAAAGAGCCACTCCAGAAGAACGTAAGGGCCGTTTTCCTTGTGGAACAGGCCAAGGATCCCGTTGCAGTTCACCCAAAAGGTCTGTGAGATTCATGTCAATTTTCTGCACTGGTTGCAAAAATCTGTAGACAAATACATGGAATTAGTTAAGATTCTAATTGTTAAAAAATGTATCACCAAGCCACTATTTCAAATAAGAGAGACAGAAACAGAAGAGATAGGAACAGGGAAGGAAAAACTGGATATCCATTTAAGAAAGTGGCACTAAAGCAGCTGTTGACACTTTCTATCATACCAACAAACAGAAGCGCCATTGTTTACATATATAACATTCTTTCAAAACATTTCCAAAGCATCATCCAGATGATTTTACCATCACTCATTAGGTCTTTTCTTCTCAGTACAAACTTTAGGAAAGAAACAGGCTATAGACATTAGTCTCCTAGTAAATCAAAAGGTTCAATGGTCAGTTGATGGCTTTCATTGTCATAAAATGCAAGTTTTTCAGTAAATCAGTGTAGTCAAGGTATGCTTTTTAGATGTTTTAAGCACATTACCTGTTAGAAGGTGGCGGCTGCTGCACTTGAGGACCCCGGCCAACTTGTGAAACAGCTACTTTTGTAAGCCCTAACATTTCCTGTGGACAAATACATAAGATTTTATAATAAAATTTGTTTACAGACTATTCAAAGTTCTTCATCATCATCACCTTCATGACATCTTTTTGTTTGTTTCTGTACATTACCTGAAGCTGCTTTGCAGATAGGTCTTTTGTTCCTCTGAAGACATAACTTTTGGAAATTCTTTCACAGCCAAGCTCATGAACTTGCACCATTCGGCCAAAAGTAATGAGACCTACTAAGGCAGTTGGTGGCAGAAGACTAAGCGACATTTGCATGGACTCCTTCAGAGCCTGCAAGTCTTCATCTTCCATGCATGTGTCCACAACATAAAGAAATATCAAAGGCATCTGAGGACCACGCTTTAAAGAAACACAAATATAACCTTGCAATATTTACGGGATCAAAAATAAACAGAGTACATTTTGCAAAAGTTTTAAGTTTAATCATACCAATAATGTCAGTGTTCCACCTAACTTAGTTCCCTCTCTAGAAGTAGTTAGTATCTGGGGCCAAAGGGGAATGAAATACCTGCCACAAGGAACTCTGAACAAAAACAAAATGCTTACTATAGAAGAAAAAAAAAAAAAAAACCACAACCTTTCAGAATGTCATGATAGTTTTGAAGCACGTGCCAATTACATAAATCTTTTATCATACAATGACCTTTTATTTCTCCAAGTGAATATTACAGTCATAAAGCTATTTAGTTATAAAATATTCCACCCTAATGACAATCCCTGGCATTTCACCTCATTATTTTACTCTAGAGATCTTTAGTTCTTTTTATTCTTTCTAAACTAATTTTACTGTACTATGAGCCAGTATCCCCTTTACTTTGCATTACAAGAGCTGGCAAAAAGGAGAGATTCTGTTCAGCCTTCACTCTTCTCTTCAAAGTCTGAATGTGTCACTGAAGTCTTACCAATTTTCATCCTCAAAAACAGAATTTAGAGACTACAAATTTGCAGTTGCAATTTTGGGGTTTAGGTCTATTTTTCATTTAGAATCATAGAATCATAGTATCCT